TTCACTCATTCACACCCATTCATTCCTGCCCTCATGCAATCACACACTTACACAGACATATAGGTTGAAGAAGGAGCCAAGGCATGTGGATCCTGGAGGGTCTGTCTGCTCATCATGGCTGGGAAAGCTGGTCAGGAGGGACACTGGAGAGGAGCTTCTCGGGAGCAGGGGAAGGAAAAAGAGAGAGTCTCACATGTGCTCCTTCTCCTTATATTGTGTCTGAATGGCCCCTGTGACTCATTCACCTTGTCAACAGGGAGCATGCCCAGACTTCCCTTTATTCAGCAAGGAGCATGCCCAGACTGTGATGACTCATTGCCATGTGGTCCATAGTTCCAAGCCTTCTTCAAACACTCTCACACTCACACTCCATTCACTCAGGGGAGAATGCAGCTTAGGGAAAGTTACAAGCAAAGTGGCTGCATGTTACAAAGATTACAAAGTTGCAGTTTACAGTAAGTTTGAGAGTTACACAGATTGCAAAGATTGACAAGGATCATAATAAGTTTCAGTTTAAAACCTTAGACCTTACCGTTTTGGTGTAGCTTTAGAAAATCCATGTATATACATCTAGTGAGCTCAGGCGGAGGCTTTTTTATGCAACATTCTCCAATGAAATTAATTCTTGTGTGTGCTTTTACCCTATACTATATAGATATCATGGAGGAGACTAGTGCTTCTCAATTGGGTGTCCTGACCGAAAATGAAGTTGCAGTGGGTTGCGAAGTTAGTTTAGGATAGTCACTGTATAGCTATCCTTCTGTGCTACCTTCAGATCTAGGTGGCTGAAGTGTGGTGGCAGCTGTCTGAAGGCCCAACTCCTACATCATCTCCACATTTGTGCATAAGAAAATTCATTCCACTTGGGGTAGAAAAAAGTTAGGAGGAACACTGAACTTCTCTCCATAAGGCTGCAGCTCTTAAGTTGGGCATGCCACAGTCAGGAGGACTTCTAGGTTCTGGCCCTAGGTCTCTCACTGACTTGGTGGGTAACCAAGGTTAATCACTCTGCCTGGCTGTGCCTTAAATAACTAGCTTCTGAGTCTTTCCAAACAGATTGTATTGACCCAAATCAGAGCCAAATGTCTTGTCCCTTTTCCACCCCTCTAGAGGCTAAATTGTTGCAGGCCACAGGCAGGGAAGACAAGACAGAGATGCCACCAGTGCCTTGAGGCCTACATGACATATGGCAAGGAATAGATTAGGTGGTATGCACCCTTGTTCCATGCTCAGAGGAAGGCACTGTGGGATCTGTTGGGCTTGCTGATGAGGTTTTTCTCTCTGGGCTGGTCTCAGTGGTGCAAGTGACTGGTACAGTCTGATATGCCAGCCCAGCAAGTGTTTTGTTGCTGCTCCAGTGTACTGGGAAGAGTCCCTGATGATCATCTCCAGCCCCTCCACTGGCTGCTGCATCTCTGGGTACAGGGCTGGGAGCACTAGGGCAGCCGGAGGAGCTGCTGGCATTCTGCTCCTTTCCCCACCCTGAGGGGCAACAAGGAAAGGCGCAGAACATTGGCAGCTCCCAGCTGTCATAGCCCTCCCAGTCCTGCCCCGAGCCTCTCCATGGAGCTCTCGCTCTCTCTGTGCACAGGGCACAAGGGGGTGGGGCGGGGCTGGCAATTCTGCTTTTTTCCTGGCTGCTCCTTCCTGGCTCCCTCAGCCTCCCCTCCCCCCAGCAGCTTGTGGAGGGGCAGGATGCGGGGCTGGGAGTTCTGCTCCTTGGTCTTCTGGGGGGGTGTCAGCAGGGAAAGGAGCAGAATTGCTAGCAGGGCCAGCCTTAGGCCAATTCCCCCGAGTCGGGCCCCGTGCTTAAAGGGGCCCCATGCCCTGAAGCCAGAAGTGTGCCGGGCACGCTGCGGGAGGGGGCATCAACCCCGGAGGAGTAGCGCGGCGGCTGCCTGCGCCGCAGGAGGTGTGAGTTGAGCACAGGGTTTCCCTGCACCGCAGGAGGTGGGCATGTGGAGGGTGTTAGCTATCTCCAGGGTTTGGCTCAGTTCTGGGGGGAGCTTCAGAGTGAACAAACCAGAGGAGCTGAATGGGCAAAATGATCCACTGAAATGCAGCCATTCCCCTGGATAGGACCAATTCTAAGAGAGCTCTACCATTGTGAAGGTAATACTAGATATCCAAATGCGGGTTGCCAGATAGTTTCAACAAAAATACTGGACATTACATCTTATTTAGAAAATACCGGACATTTATATTTTCTCAATTTGTTTCCTGAACAGAAAGCTCAAATACTGGACTGTCTGGTTCAAAACTGGACACCCAGCTACCTTAAATGGGGGTGGCACCAGCTTTCCACAGCTGACTCCCTGCCAGAGGTGCACAAGCAGCCACAGTCCATCCACAGAGAGAGGAGAGGAGAGGGAAGGAGGAAGGAGGGAGGGAATGAGAGCTGTGGAGCCCATCAGCAAAGGCCAACACATTTCACTGTTCCCTCATTGCACACCGTGGGATTTGCTGTCACGCTGAAATAGAGGAGAATATTTTGCTTTTTTCCCTCGTGTGGTTTTGTCTGCGAGGCCTTCAGGGCAGGGATGTCTGGGATAAGCACACAGCACACTCAGGGGACCCTCTGCCTGTGGCAGGAAGCAGAACCCAGCCCCGGCCCACTCCGCTCCCCCAGCTCCCCACTGCATCGCTCGGGGAATGGGCTTGGGCAATAGTGACTGCTTGGGAGGGACACAAGGGGGGCACCCGTCATGTGACTGCTCCTCTACATGATTCCACCCTGCACCATCCCTAGTCCAAGGGAGAGCCCTGCCCTGCCCCCACGCCACCTTTTCCCTCAATCCCCAACCCCTGAATGACATGGCTGGGGGAACTAGCAGGAGGCCTGGCAACCACAGCAGGGGTCCTCCCCCAACACACACTGGAGGGAGGAATCACAGCCCTGGCTCCCAGTAGTGAGTGCAGGGGGCAGTTCAGCCCCTTTCCCCAGTCCCCTGCTGTGATGCAGCTAGGGGAGCCAGGGGAGCAGGGGCCCCCAAAGCACAGAGCCTTGAGTGGTTGGATAATCTGGGCTCTGCCTGCTGGCCCCTACCACCTACCCACACAGCGTTTGGGAGACATCACCCTTCCTGTGCCCCCATGCATTGCCCCTCACCTTTGGGCAAGGGGTGGAACCGCACCCTGTGCTCACTGGCGATGGGAAGTGGAGCAGCATGGCTGGGAGTCGTCAGAGTGGAGCAGGTTGGAGCCAGATCCTTCCGCTGCTGCCGGTAATCACAGGGGCAGGCCTGACCCCTGCTGCCAGCACCAGATCCCACACTAATTCCCTGGGGACTTGGAAAAAGGTGCAGAATGGGAGCAGAGCAGGTGTTGGATGAGACAGGGAGGGGCTGAGCAAGGCTTAGGGCAAAGGGATAGAGTGGGGGCAAGGCAGAGCAGAGGGATTGTCCTGAGCCATGTACACCCCATGCAGCTCGGCGTGTGTGTGTCCAGGGGCTGGGAGCAGGCTGGCCATTGCAGATGCAGTTAGGGTGCCCCAAATTCCATGATACTTTATGCAGCTGTGTATTTTGTATGTTGGTAGAGATGGCTCTTTCCACCCATCTAAGACATGGAGAGAACAGGAAGCTCTACATTGCACTCCCTTTACTTTTAATAGCTGCAGCTCTGTAGCAGGGCAAAAACTATACACAAACCTCATGTCTCAGGGCTTCAGCTGATCACCTGCATGGATCGGGAAGGATTTCTTCTTATTGTGTACAATTGGTGAGATGCATGCTAGAGTTCCCTTCCCTCTTTTTCTAAAGCATTAGGTAAAATTCATAGCTGAAAACAGGACACCAGCCATGCCAAGTATGTACTCATTGGATTCAGACAGGCATGTATGTGGCACTGCTAAGCTATGCTGTTGCTGCCCTGCTGCAAGTGCAGCAAGGGGAGAGCAGGGGCTGCTTGCCAGATACTTTCCCCAGCAAGTGAAAAGATAGGATGAGGCCCAGAAAGGCTGGGGTATAAAGAGCCCTCACTCTGCTGTTTGACTTACTGGCCAAAATAGCTGGCTGGGTGCAGAAGTTGCCCCTCAAAAAAGGGGAATGAGTTTGTTCCCCTGTCCCAGAACAAGGAAAACTGCACCCCAATTGCTGTTCACCACTTCTGTAGCCCATGATAAACAGTCACCCACAGCTGTATGCACCTGGGCTGCTCAGGGCCTCCACTTGCTCTGTGTTCCTTGGAACAGCCTGTGTGCACACTCAGAGCCGGCATGAAAAACCCCACACAGCAGCTTGCTCAAGCCCCCGCTTGATCCAACACAGCTTTTTCCAGAGGAAAGGAGGCCCCCCCACAACCCAAGGAAAACAGAATGGATAGCGGAATTCTGCAGAAAACTGACATCAGTCCACCAGCCTCCTGCCTGGGAAGCATTCCTCTGTGGTGCCGGCGCCTAAGAAGCTGTCAGGCCTGAAGATCTGGCTTTGGTTTGAGAGGTGCCGGCGCCTAAGAAGCTGTCAGGCCTGAAGAGCTGGCTTTGGTTTGAGAAAAAACAACAAATAGTTTTACAGCACCTTAGAAACTCACAAAGCATGTAGATGGTATCATGAGCTTTCGTGGGCACAGCCCAATTATAGACTAATTCGGCTATCCCGCTGAAGCTTTTGGCTTGAGAGTTGGAAATGAAAGCCTGCCACCTGGTGGAGGCAATAGGTAACAAGCACACATCTGGCACAATCCAGGGACTGTAACTATTTGCACTGTATTGGGAGTCTTTTCTTCCTTTGAGATTTCTTTCATTTTGAGGTTTATGTGAAAAACTGAGCAGCTGTTAACCAGCTCAGGACTAGCAGCCTATGTTCTTGTGGCAAACACATCCAACTTCCCAAGATCTCTAAAAGGATAACCTAAAGGCAATATATCTGTGCCAAAGGTTACAAATACTCATGTTAATTAGTTCTAACTAATAATACAGGAAATAGGCCCATCAGTTCCTGCATTATGGCCAAATGTAGTGAAATAGTATTTACTAAAATTATTCAATATAAATATAAGCCAAAATATCATCATCAATCAAACCAATCAATAAAAACAGGCTATATAATATAAGTAAGCAACAGGATAGCCTTAAGGACTACAAGTACCTCAGAAAACATGTAATCGTTAAACTTAATTTTAGTCTTTAATTCAAGACAAAAAGGAAAAACAGTCAAAGTGTTTGAAAAGTATGAAGTAAGGCTTTAATTTTAATTACATCTTTTATTGCCTTTTCAAAGGATCCCTTTCTCTTGTTAGACTCTTAGATCAGTGGTTTCAATCTGTCTTCTAGCGGGTCCATGAAAACTTGTTTCCATAAAACAGTGGTTTTCAGCCCAGGGTCTGCAGACTGGGTCTAAGATTATCAAAATGGGCTGTATGTCCATTCAAAATCTGTTAGGGGGCATACAAAAGAAAAAAAGGTTGAAAACCACAGTCATAGCTGGTATCCAAGATGGTAATAAAAGTCCTTTTTTGGGAAAAGAGAAGTTAGTTGAAATTGGCTGGAGCTGTTGAAGGTGGGGAAGAAACACACAAAGGTACATATTCGTCAAAGTCTTACCTCCTAGGACTGGTGGCATATGGGATTTAGCACAAGTTGGTGAGGTCAACTGGTTCGCTCTTTGGCCCAGTCTGCTCAAAGACATCTTTCAGGGTTAAAACAGACACAGTCCAGGCCCCACAAGATGATTGAGGTTGCAATTCTATAAAGGTGAAGCTTGTTCCTTCTCTTGTGTTTCAGTTGGCCAGCAGCCTGGTAGCCCCTGCACCTCAAAGTCTCTTTCTGAGGATCTGAAAAGGGGAGCGGTAGGCAGAATAGCCTATTCTCTCATATTTCATCCACAAATTAGGCCTAATTTCCAGCACACCAATTTTGGTTCACTGACTCCCAGCCTTGCAATCTTCTTGTTTATTAGCATGATCTGAACACAGTTCTTGAAGTACAGGCAGTCCCCGAGTTACGCGGATCTGACTTATGTCGGATCCGCAGTTAGGAATGGGGTTTGCTGCCCATCTCCCTGGTCTGCTGGAGATCAGCAGACCAGGGAGACGGGAAGCAAAGCCTCTGAGGACGCCGGCAGCGGAACAGCCGCGGCGCGTCTGGGCTGTCCGCTGCCCGCCGTGCTCCGCGGCTTTGCTCCCCATCTCCCTGGTCTGCTGGTCTCCAGCAGACCAGGGAGACGGGGAGCAAACCCTGTTCGTAACTGCAGATCCAACATAAGTCGGATCCGCGTAACTCGGGGACTGCCTGTACTCCAGTGATCTGAAGTAGTGGGCTGTGCCCACGAAAGCTCATGATACCATCTACATGTTTTGTTAGTCTATAAAGTGCTACCAGGTCATTTGTTCTTTTTTTTCTTGTTACTTCTATGAAAGATGCCAGTAGGGGTGTTCCGTGTGGATGGGTTAGTGGGGCTGCACAAAGATCTTTTACAAACAGTTAGTATGGCCAAGCTAACATGTGTGTTCCAGGCATGTGACCACACAGCTCAGAGATAGACGAGATTTCTAGGGTCTGAGCTAGATCACTTCCTGGATAGTGCTTTGTATAATAACTGTCTGCTTTATTCAGTTTTAAATGTTAATGGCATCTCCCTGGCATCCAGATTCAGCCGCTGCTGAAACTGATCAGTTTCAACAGTGGCTGAATCTGGACGCCAGGTCTGACTTACATACAGATCCAACTTAAGAACCCCAAGCTTCCCCAAGTCAGCTGCTGTTGAAACTGATCAGCGGCTGATTCCAGGAAGCCCGACTTACATACAGATGTAAGTTCCGACTTACATACAGATTCAACTTAAGAACAAACCTACAGTCCCTATCTTGTACGTAACCTGGGGACTGCCTGTATATCAGTAGCCCTTTTTGTTCAGACTCATTTAATCTTTTACACCTTTCCCAACATTTATTACAGGCTACTAGCAGATTTACTCTGCATTGCTCAGGTCCTTAACTCAATTTAAGTGTTGGGGTTTTTTTTAATAAACGGAAAATATACATGCTTTATTTAAATGACTTTTTATGAAAAAATGTGGTGTTATTTTTGTGAAGTTAATTTTTATTTCTGTTTCTTAAAAGAAGGGATTGTTGAAATTTTTCCATTTAATTTCTTTAGTTAAGTTTTTAATTGTGAATTTCATCATGTATTTTTTCTTCATCCCTATAAACTCTTATCATACACTAGAAAGGGTTATAGTTAATTTCTTCGGGTATGTCTACACTCCCCCACTAGTTCGAACTAGCGGGGTAGTGTAGACATACCCTTCTAGTTTTCAAATCTTAAGCATAGATTTAGCTGCGTCAAAACACAGCACTACTCCAAATTTCTCTATCATTGCATTGTCTGTAAGGTTTATTGAGAAGCAATCCTATTCCAGGTTCATCCTCTTATTCTAGCTCATCTTGATTCAGTCTCTTTCAACTTTCACACAGTTAATGTCAATTTTGAGGACTGTACTTGATTTGGGGATTCTTTTTTCTGTTTGGTTTTATGAGAAGCAATCCCATTCCAGGCACATTCCGTTTTCCTGGAACAATCAAACCCTTAGGCTACGTCTACACTGCAGACATCTTGAGCAAGAACAGCTGTTATTCCATAAAAACTTGCGGAGCATCTACACTGCAAGCGCATCCTTGTGGAAGTAAATTTACAGTAAAGCATTGGAACAGAGGGCTTCTTGTGCAAATTATTACTCCCCACGAAGAATAAGCCCTCTTGCGCAAGATCTCATGTGCAAGAAGGCACTGTGGACAGGCAACAGGGGTTTCTTCTGCAAGAAACCCCTATGTCTAAAATGGCCATCAGAGCTTTCTTGCACAAGAGTAGGTGCACACTGCAGTGGATGCTTTTGCGCAAAAGCACATCTCTTGAGCACAAGTATATGGCAGTGTGGACGCGCTCCTGGGAAGGCCTTTTGCACAAGAACTCTTGCACAAAATAGTTCTTGCACAAGAAGCCTGCAGTGTAGACGTAGCCTTTACATTACTTTCAGTTATGGTAAGAGTAAGCTTTACACCAAATTTGATAGTTCTAACGCTTAATGTTTAGAAGTTCTTGATCAAACCGACGAACTCTCTAAAATATGCGGTAGATTGTGTCACCTTTATGAACTGTTCTTCACTTTTCACAGTTGAGATCACCATTTGGGTAACTTTGTAGGCCCAATTATCACAACTACCCTCACTCAATAGGCATTTGGTCCTCTGCAATGTCCCAAGCTGGTGTTTAAGCAAAAAGGCATTCAGCTCAATAACATATCAACTCACGCAATATACTTAAGAGGGATTGAGTCCCTTTATTAGGTAACAGGATGGTGAATAGAGCTGCAGCACAAGGAATCTTTGATAGATTTATATTTGTCCCCTGCTAAGCCTTCCTTAGCAACAACCCATTACACCCAGTCCCCGAGTTGCAAACGGTCAATTTACGACCATTTGCAGTTACGACTGAAACTGTTGTAAATGGCAGACCCTGAGTTACGAACGTGATCCACACCTATGAACAGAGCTGTCACATATAACTCTATGGGATCCAACTTACGAACAAACCAAGTTATGACCAATTGCTTAGTCCGTAACTGGTTCATAAGTTGGAGAGAGACTGTACATGCAAATTTATGTAATGTATTTGTGTCAGAAGATCAGGATATGGGCAGTTACACCTAGTGGTCGCAGCAGATGTCAACAGCCAGGAACTGAAGTCGAAGGTTATGGGTCCGAAGTCACCAGTATGGTTTCCTGACAGGTATCTTGGTCCTGAAGTCGAAGGTTATGGGTCCGAAGTCGCCAGTATTCCTGACAGGTATCTTGGTCTATCCAGCTACATGCGTTCCCCCCTCTGTATGTGGTACTGGCTCTGCACAGACAGCCCATACCACAGACTCCAAGAGAGTCCCCAAAGACCACAAAATCACATAAAGATCAAAGGCACCAAGTCAGCTTTATTGTAAACAAAGTACAGTGACACTACCTGTTAGATTCTAGAGGATACTAAGAATGTGTGCCTGTGACAATGGACACAGTTCAGCCGGTGACAGGAATTCGTCATTGCTGTCTCAGTTGGACAATGACAGCCCAGCTAAGATTTTTTTTCATGCAAAGATATAAAGAAGTTACACATCACTACTGACATACGAGGGTGACCCATTGTCTTGTACATGGTGGTTTGCCCAAAACAACACTATTTATCATGGTCATTTTAGACTCTGTCCTGGGCCTAGGTTGTTATGCTTGTTAGTGGTGGAGAGTATGTTGGTACCAAAGTGTTTCTTCATGAGGTGTCCTGTTACCATCCCTGTGGAATGTGCTTCCAGCTTGTGCCTAGTACCAATTAGTTTTTTATGTCATCAACCCCATTCACACCAGATTCTTTGAGCATGAGCCTGCCTCTTGCTCATAGTTTATCTTTGCTTTATATTAGCAAAGTCTTGACCATTGTTGCCTCGTCCTCAGGTCTCACACCAGACCTGTGATATTTAGGCTTATATTTCACGCCTCATCTAACTACAAGGGTCAGGACTAGAGTCAGAGACCAGGTGCCCAAGCCAAAGTCAGAAATCAACAATACGAGCCAAAGACCAGAACTGGGTGACCTGGAGTAAGGCAAGGTGGGAGCACAGCTGGAACAAGGAGCAGCAATGCAGAGGCAGGACTTGGAGCAAGCTGAGCACAGAAAGGAAGCAGGAGTTAGAGTAAGCTGAGCACAAGCATATGCACAGAGGAGCCAGTGAATGGCTGCTGTTTGGCTTAAGAACAAGCCTGCTAGCTTCCTTAGCCAACCAGATGGGGTGAGCCGTCAGATGGTCTAGCTGATGCTGCCCAGCTGTGTTCACTAGGCTGGCAGGAAACTGAGCAAATGCAGGTCCTTATACCTGACAGCATACGTATCTTAGGACATTACTGAAGGGATAATGCATCAATGTGATAGGCCAGATTATCATGCCCTAATTTAAGACAAATAGTACTTTGCCCACCATGAGTAGTATCACTGAAGTCAATTGGAACTCTCTGTAAGGGCATGACAATCTGGCCTTACAGGAATATCATATCACATCTTGTCTTCTGCTCGTGTTAACTGGAAGCGATAAGAAACAGAGTTCAGCTCCAGTTGTCCGAAACTCCCTTTCATCCATGTTCTTCATCTATTAATTATTGTCTATTTCTAAACAATAGCACTTGCCCAGGTAGTTCTTCGCTCAACAGAGACAGGCCATTCGGAAGCCAGTCCAGTTGAGTACTTTGTGAGGCATGAAGCATCCAGCTAACTTCAGCTGTAGAACTAATATAGGGTAATGCACAGCTAAGACATAGGACGGTGTGTTAACTCAGCAACATGCACTGGGATTGGAAAGAAGCACAGTATGAAAGTGAGAAAGTCAGACAAGAAAGGAGCTAAGGGAAATTTTTTTGGCAAAAATGCCAACTTAGCAATATAGAAATGTTTTAGAATTTCATGGAGGTTTTGTTACATTACTTCAACTGAAAACAACTAAAAAGAAAGTTCACAAAAAACAGAAATGTTTCATTGAAATTTTGAAAACCAAACATGTCAATTTTTGGTTCAAAATAACTTTTCATTTAGAAATTTCCCTTAAATTTATTAAAACCCAAACAATTACAAACATTAAAAACGCTTGAAATCAAAATATTTTGTTCAATAATTTTTTTATTTTTTGAGATGCCAATTTAAAAAAAATCATTTTTGCTCATTCCAAAACAATTTTTTATATAATTTGGAATTGACAGCAAATCAGTATTTAAACAGCTGTAGGACAGACAATAGTAGTAGCCTCTAGTCCTGTCTCCTGCATTAGATTTCATATATTGAATCATATTCACTGCAAGAAGAACATGTATTACTGCAGTTTAGAGCATGGACGGGGAAAGCAATTTGGATGTAATAAAAATGAACCCAAACTTTCACCCCCCAACCTCACACCAAAACTGCTGTACAAATCTATCCACTGTTTGTTTTACTATTTACATGCAGTTATGCCTAGGAACATATGCCAAAATCTTGGTCCCATTAAACTCAGTGGAAAATCTGGACTAGGATTTAGGCATTGTCACAAGTGGCAGAGTAAGAGATGATATTCTTATGGCTTTTCTAAGTCTGATGAGAAACAAGCAGGACCTGATCAAGTCTGCTTTTTGCTAAGCTTCAAGATTCAAATAAACATCCAAACTGAAACTCCCAAATTTCTCCTCAGTAATTATGGGGTGAGCTGACAACATTTTCAATAGCACCCCGCAGAAGTGACTATAAAAATCTCTAAAATCTGGGAGGAAACTCTACCACAATTATCACTGACTCCACCCTTCCCTAATCCCATTATATTTGGGACCCTTTTGTAATGTTTCGTGGCTTCAATCTGCACGTGACACCATCTTTTGGCCTAAAGGTTCCCGTATCTGCAATTTCAAAGCTCTGTCCTGGCACCAGCTGAAATTCAAACCTCTGAAGCAGTTTTGCCATCACCACTTTAGCCTCCATCTGTTAGGGAGAAAAGAAAACTTTAAATCATCAGATGTAAATGATGCTTTGGCAGGAACGATTTAAATTTAAGACACTGGGCAACTCTGTAAAGTACGGAGCTTGAAAAGGACACAAACTACGGTATTACTGTAACTCTGTAAGGGAGAGAGCTGCCCCTGTGAGGGGCGTCCTTCAGTCACATGCAGGTTTCATGAACTGGACACACACGAGAGGCACAAAGCTACGTCCGTTGGTTTAAGTTCCAGGTCTGACTTGGAGAAAAGGTTATTGATCAAACCACTTTAAGGTAGCACAGGTATAACAGCATTTAGATGAGCCCCAAGCATAAACTCAGAGTGAAGGTTCCACTGCCTGACTCCAAGCTTCCCCTTGCTATGCACTGCCATTTTCATTACCCAATCAAACTGTGCCTCCTAAGTTCCCCCTTAAGCTTTGTGGCTGTGCAGCTTCCCATTAAGCCCTATGTGGGGGCTCAGGGCTGCAGAGAGGAGAGTTATCTCTCCCCAAGCTTTAAAGATCTTAAAGGGACAGGGGGCACCCGTCCCTGATGGCTCGAGCACGCAACTGCCATTGCAGGGGGCAAAGGGGCTTCACCTGCTCCCAGCAGAGAGCTGCCCAGGTAAGCCCAAGCTTCAGGCCTTTACCACATTTTGAGCCCCTCCTGATCTGATCACTCTCCTGTACCCTAAAAGCCTCATCCCTGGTCCCATCTTAAAGCTCACGCCCCCAGTCCAGAGCCTGAACCCCCGCTGCATCCTCAAACCCCAGCCCTGTATGTAGCCCCTGCTGCACCAACCCCAAGCTTGTACCTCTTTTCCCAGACCCTTCTCATCCACTGTAACCCCCAGGCAGAGCCCTTGCACCACAACCCTCTGCCCCAGCCTTGAACCTCTCAACTCCAGCTCCATCCCAGAGGTTCATATTCCTCCGCCCCAACCCTCTGCCACACTCAAAACTCCTTGGCTCTAACCTCGCAACATACATTTTGTTATTTGCACCAATATGAAGGTGATCCACGCTGGTGAACATAAGAATATTCATTACACTCAGGGTAGGAAAAATTAGAGGCAACACTAGTTCTCACCAGGCAAGCCCTTCCCCAGCCTCCCTGTGCAAGTCTGTTCTGGCTTGTGCTCTCCCCCCCAC